CTTTCGGTTTGGGGAGGCGCGCGCGACGCCACGAAAGCCCCGGCGGCGGGGGGCCTGGGCTCCCGCCTCGGCCAATGCGGCGGCGATAACAAGAACTGCCAGGAGTTGCGTGCTTTCCGTGCCAGGCTCCACGCGCCCGCACTGTGTTCGCAATAACCCTGCACGGAGCCATTATCCTCCCCGCTGGGACTGAGGCTCAGGGAGGTCAAGTAACGACCAAAGTGACCCTGCTGCGCCTCCGTAAGCCGGAGACCGCCTGCTCTGGGCTTTCTGCGAGGTCAACTGAGGACATGTATGCAAATTGCCAGCAGTGCCTGGCACACAGTTGGAGCCCAATAAATGTTACTTCTCTTCCTAAACCACACTGGTTTAAACGGAATTGTCACGGCGAAGTACATTCATTCAGTAGATACTAGGAGCTGTGGGGGATACAAAAGACATACGTGAATCACAGGTTTCACCGCCCCCTCCCAGCTTTGTGCTGAGTAGACAACAGGAATCTCTCCATGACTGACTTCTCTTTATTCCCAGCATTTCCCTTTCTCCTTGCCTTTTCATTTAAGCATTCATATTCTCTCTCTTTTCCCGTCAGGTCTCCCACATTCCTTTTTCTTTGTTCCCACGTTTTACATTTGTTTACTTCATCCCCTTTCTCTTTTCCCCATTCCCTTTCTTTCCCCTCTAGTATTTTTCACATTTTCAAAGCCTTCTTTCATTAATATTCACATATCTGCCTTTACATTTCTTACACTTATATTTTGTTTCACAAAAGAAGGTAACATAGGATCAAATACACAACTTCTCTCTCTATTCTCCAAACAAGCCCACACTTCCCTGACTCCCTACCTTTGCTTCCACTACTCCCTCCTGGAGTGCCCTTTCCCCAACTCTGCATATCCAGGTCCTTCAAGATCTAGAATCAAGAACAGTGGTCAACAAACTTCTTCTGTAAGAGACCAGATAGTAAATATTTTAGACTTTGCAGGCCATATGGCTTCTGTTGCAACTACTCAGCTCTGCTGTTGTAGCAGGAAAGCAACCACAGACAATATGTCCATGAATACATGTGGCTATGCTCCAATAAAACTTTACTTAGGACACCAAAATTTGGATTTCATATAATTTTCATGTATCATGAAGTACTGTTCTTTTTATTCTTAAACATCTTAACATGTAAAAACCATCAACTTGTGGGCTGTACAAAAACTGGTAATGTGCCCGGTCGGAGTGGCTAAGTTGGTTGAGCATAATCTGTGTACTGAAAAGTTGCTGGTTTGATTCCCAGTCAGGGCACATACCCAGGTTGTGGGTTCGATCCCCAGTAGGGGTGTGTACGGAAGACATTGATCCATGATTCTATTCCCTCTTCCTCTCTCTAAGCATGTCCTCAGGTGAGGATTAAAAAAAGAAAAAGCCAAACTGGTGATGTGATGAATTTGGCCCTTGGGGCATATAGTTTGCTAACCCCTGCTCTAGAATGCCACTTCCTCTTCACAGTCTATCCTGGTAATCTGTACTTGCTAGTAACTTTCCCCCCTTATAGCACTTACCTATAATCCTTCTATGGCATTTATCACATTTTAGTTTTTATTGTATATGTTTTTTCCCCTGTGCATTTATCATCTTTTCCAGCAGACCTCAAGCTCCTTGAAGGTAGGATACAGACCTTTTCTCTCTGCATTACCTCCCATCCCTCAGTGCTTTGCACAGAGCAGGCATTCAAACACATACAGAATGGTTATACAGTTAAATGTCAGGTGGTTGACAACTGTTTCCACTGTGCAAAGCTTACTTCTCTCATTAGACAGTACCTCTGGAGGAGGATGCCTATTATGTGTATATCACCTTAATTAGATTACAGAAAGAGATTTTCAAGAGCTCTGTAGACAGATGGAGAAAGGTAGGCAAATGTCAGTTCATTTAGGGGTTGTTGGAAAACAAATACTTGAACAAAGAATGTTGCTTATCACCAACCTGTAGACAGGGCATGTGTCCTCAGTTGGGTCCTAGTCAGTATTTCTATCAGCAAATTGGTTAAAGACAAAGAAAATATACTATATAAATTTACAGATGGCAAAGTCAAGCAGAGGAGTTAGTATAATGAATAACAAAATTCAGATATGAAACATTTCTGCCCCACCACGTATTCTCTCTGGGCCTCAGTTTTCTTTCTGTTAAAATGGGGATGATAAGAGTTCCTGCTTCAGAGGGTTACTGTCAGGATTAAATGAGGAAATACATGCAGAGCTTGGCAAAGAGGCCCCAGCAAGTGATAGCTATTAACTCTTGTCATTTTCTCGCTAGGCTGTAACTCTGGGCTAAATTCACAAGATAACATTTAACAGCTGTAATTAACTATACTTTGGCTCCAAATATAAATTGTACAAGTTTGAGACTTGGGAGACCCGGAATGATAGGGACTCGTGTAAAAAAAAACCCTCAGAAACAAAAGCAGTAACAAAAAAACAGACCCAACCCTCTGGAATTCAGGTGACACAGTGCTCTGCAACCCAACAGTATCATTCCTCTGGCCGGAGCAGTCAGTATGGGGCCATGGGCGCACAGTCCTGGTGAAGGGAGGCGAGGGAATTACACTTGCAGCCAGAGTCGTCGTGCTGCCCTTTCATAGTGGCAGGGCCTGGAGCTTCTTTAAGCTTTCTTCCTCCTCTGAATAATAGGGACAGTGCTGTTTCTTTCTCAGTGTAATTATCATGGGTAAAGGAAAACTTAGAACAGTACTTGGCACGTAGTAGGTGTTCAGCAAATTTTAGTTCCTCCCACCATACCATGCAGATCTGGAAAACAGTCCTGCCCCTTGAAGGGCTTACACAGCTAAGGCCAGGTGCTCACCTGTGGTGACTAGTGGTATTTTATATTTGGAATTAAGGTGCTTAATTTTGGGGATCATACTTTAAGAGAATTCATGAAAAGGTGGAAAGTGCCTAGACAAGAATGATCAGAACAGTGCAAATGGGAGGTCTTGAAATGTAATAGGTAAAAAATTGAAAAAAAGTCTCAGCCCTTAGCCTGGAGATTTTCTTTCTTTTTTTTTAATGGGAGGGAGAGGAAAGAGACATGATACCTGTCTACAAACACTGTGGGAGATGGACCCTGTCACAGTTCATAAGATAGGATCACAACCAGTGCTGGAAGTTCCCGGGGAGCAGATTGGGCTTAGTTTGAAGAGTGACCTTCTGATAACTAGAGAAATTCCACAATGGAGTGGCTGCTTTTCAGAATGATGGGCCCTTACCTTTTTTTTTTTTTTTTTTTAA